GTGCTCGGGCACCTTCCAAGATAACTGGAGATTGTCCATATCTGAGGCTAATTGTAGTGGAAAAGATCACTGAAACTTTACTTAAAACAGGCTCCAAAATTTCACAGCAGATAGTGAAAAAATGTTTGGGATTTTATCTTAAAAATGAAACTGAAGATTAGAGAAGAAAATTTATTTTGTTTTAACAAAATTTCAGTTGTATTTTCAACTATGTGCTAATTCTCATAATGAACAGAGTGGATCAAATGTGGATTATTTTTAGTCATAATTTTCCTGACAAAAATACAGTAAAGCAAAATACAAAATCCTTCCCTTCACTTTTGACTTTCATAGCATTATAATGTCAAAGATTGCTTTTTGGGAAAATATCATAGGGCTTCGTCATTTTTCCCACAGGCTTCTCTTTAATACTTTGGCTTTCAAGATTATTATTTTTTAAAGGGATTTTGGTCAGTAACTTTCTTCAGTTTCTTCCCTTGGGTTGTTCACTGGATTAATTTAGCCAGGTCTTCTTCATTTGTCAAGAAAGCCTGTCATTCACGAACTTCTTTCAACATCACTTGTATCCGTTTTACGAAAATCTGCATCTTTTACAAGATCTGCACCACACTATGGAATGAATGTATATTGTATTTTCAGGTGTTTACAAGGTTGATGAACTGGCCAGAGACTAACCAACAAAGATGTTGACATAATGGGCCCCCATTGCTTTCAAGTCAAATTTGACTCATAGCGACCCTACAGAACAGAGGAGAACTGCCCCCATAGGATTTCCAAGGAGCAGCTGGTGGATTCGAACCGCCGACCTTTTGGTTAGTAGCCAAGCTCTTAACCACTGCGCCACCAAGGCTCCATAATGGGCTCAGCTAGATGTTAATATTATGTAATAGCAAGAAATATTCGAGAGGGGCTAATTTTATAACTGGTCAGCTCATTGGTGAATATTTTCATATCCTACGACTTTCTCTGTGCAACGTGGCGACTACAGAGACTGGATAATACAGACTTTGGATAACAAGGATCTCTTCTTTACCACTCTTTTTCTTTAGAGAAATTACCCATAGTACTTTTGTCCTCTTTACCTCTCCCTTCTCCTGCTGCCTAGAGTTCTGTGGCTCCCTGCCAATTACACCAATCCTGCATTGCAGAAGTCCAAAAATTAGTCTCACAGAGCTGGACCTTACACACAACTTCAGAGTCCACTTGGGTCTGTCTCAATTCTAACACATTTAGTCTCTCAGGACATTGAAGGTCTATAATTTTGGTCAGAACTGTAGTTCCAAGTCAAATATGTGTTTCTAATAGCAACTAATATGGGTCTTAGTAAACTCTTTTAAAATCACATGGTAAAATCAACGTCTTTCTTA